TCGATAAAAATTAATGATCTTTTTACACTACACTTAGTTTTTTACACCTTTTGAAAGCAAAATCGAAATTGAAATATTATGTTCTTCCTTTAAAAACTAAAAAGTAGCATTTACTTATTTTTACTTAAAATTTATTCATAAAATGAAATAAATCTGATTGCCATTTCAATTTTTTTTTTAAATTTTATATCGTTGCATATTTCAAATTTCGCAAGTGAACTGAATGCAAAGGGTTGTAGTTGTGGAAGACTCAAGCAAGATGAACTTGAATCCAATACCACATGACTTGTGGAAGATGAGCTATGACACCCATTTTTCAATCTTATAAATTGTAGTTGTACATGGCAATAATGGCAAACAAACAAAAGCTGGCAGAATACGGGGTAGGTGCTGATAAGTTCTTGTCCAGATCTATTTCACAAAATCTGAACAAAAGACCAACATTATTACTATTTTTTAATTTGTTTTTTTGGTCGGCTAAGAACTTTTCAGTACTCACTGGTATTGATCAGAATAAAAAATGGTTTTCATTACCAATTTACTTTACATTACAACATTTTCTTACCACATTTACTCATAAAAATAAAATTGAAATAAAATATATGATGAAGACGAGGAACATGAACACTAAAAACTAAAAAAACTAAACAGTAACAGTAACACCCACTAGGCCACTAAATAAATACGCACTTTTTTATTTTTTTTATAGTAGTTTCATTCATTTAAATTAAATGAATGAAAATACTATTTTAATTCTTTCATTTGATAAAAAAAAAATTATCTTCAAAAAATTGAACGGAAATAATAATAATAATAATAATAATTTTAATAAAAACAGTATGACTCCCAAATTTTGTGAATCTTTCTCTTGTAAAATAATCCAAATAAAATCCTTTATGGGGGTCCTACCTACTAATTGGAAAATTGTTTAACAATGCAAAAAAACATTCAAAACTATGTTTAATAAAAGTAATAAGTAAAAGCAAAAATAAAAAAAATATGCAAATTACAATAATGCAATTTATATTTGTTGCTGTGTGTGTGTGTGTGTGTGTGCGCGTGACAATATGAGTGTCAATAAGACATTATTTCAAATTTAAAAAAAAAAATGCTTTTTAAAGATTTGGCTTTTTCAATTCATAAGTTCTGATTCATTGTTGACTTTTTTGTTACAAAGAAGTAAAAGTGTGTGCGAACATAGAAATCAACACTGGATGGTGACTGTCAGTTTCACATCTCCAAGCTATCATCAGACCACGCATATATATATATATATAAAGCGGGGTACTGAAAAGTTCACAGCATGATCCACTTCCTAAAATATGTCAGTTGCGTATTTGAAATTTAGCATTCCTCATTAAGGTTTTATCAAGTCAATCATTGTTGTATTAAGGTTCTCTCACCGGTTGCAAATGATTTGAAATGTAATTGTATTAGTACATGTATAGAAAATTAAACTGAATGTTTACACTACAGTCCAAATATAAAACTATCATAATGCTCTGCATCACACATTCTCTATCTAGTGGGCAGAGAGTTTTGAGTTTTTCAGTTGTTGATCAAGTGTAAATTTGACTTACTTGCACAATGCAGTCAACTATTATTTTTAGTTATCACATTAAATTATTCCTCCAAAATCAGATTTATTATATTACATATAAAGTCAACAATTGTATATTTTATTCAAAATATATGAGAGCAAATATTGTTTAATGTTAAAATCTCTAATGCATGATATGGATAGCAGCTCAGATTGAGGAATTGGAGGGTCATGTTCAAATTCCAGTTGAATCTATTACATTCACGTATATGCTAATACCCTTGGGGAAGGTATGAATCCTCTTCTTCTCCCCCCAGCTATGGGCAAATAACAGGACAGACCGGGTTCTATAGCCTTATATGGCACCTGGTCTACCACAGAAAGAAATGGCAACCTACTGCAGGAAAAAATCTGCCTCATCAGTCATGTATCGAAAGATACATGATCACCTAAGCATGTATCACGCATGGCACATAACTGACTGATGCATATTATAAGATTTCTGACTCTCTCTATACATATTCATTATAAAAAATAATGAATTGATAACAAATTTGATTTATTTTTTTTCCAAAATTGTAAAATAAGACAATAATAGTCCTTTTTGAAATACATCTTTGTGATATTTAGTATTTTTTATCAGAATTCAGCCTAAATAGTGCTTTGTAGTTTACAAAAACATGAACATCAGGCACAGAATGTCTAACCAATATGAAACCACTTTCATTGCAAAATTAACTGGAAATAATGTGTTCAGTTGTTACTTAATGCAAGAAAGAAATATGCCTAAGAAAAGTTATTAATATCTCATAAATACGGATGATGCAATGTAGCATGTGACTTTGTCCTTTATTCTATTTCTTTACAAGTTGAACTCAAGAGAAATTGCTTTAAACTGAATAAACAGTTACTCAAAACATTTTCGTACAGAAAAAAAAGCATTGAGCTTTATGGCTGCTATCATGATACAATAATTTGTTGGTCACTCTCAAGTCCTTGACCATTTCAGAACTTCAGGTGTTGTAAAGGAAATTAAAGAAACAAACTAGTATAAATGTCTTCCTTTTTTTTTTTTTTTTTTTTTTTTCTTATAAAATTAGGTTGTGTAATTCTCCAAAATAGTAATTTTAGCATTTTTCACATTTAGTTTTGCCAGAATAGCAGCTTCACAACCAAAGTATTTAAAATTCTATTTCAGCTGCTGGGTTGATGAAGCATGTTACAAATTTGAAAAAAACAGATAATCCTTGTTTTTGCTTCTGGACATATGCCACCAACCATTTCCTAGTGAACTGATAATGCCTGTTGTGAATCAGTCAGTCAGTGGCATATTCCCAGAAATGAATAGAAAGATTTTCTCTACTTTTTTCAAATTTATTATACAGAAACTATTAAATCATTATCAGCTCAAAAAATGGAATTGGTGAATCAGATTTGTATTCTGGTTGATGCTATTTATATTCACTTCATACTGATGCCTTTTGGAAAGGCAAGAGTCCACCTCTCTCTAAACTCTATCCATTTGGTAGATATTTTGACAAAATTCTCTTTTCACTAATATACCATGATGTTTTTTTTTCTTAATATTAACCAAATATAAGGCTCAAGAGCCACTCTAGGTAGAGGGTTATTGAATGCAGTGTGTGGTTTGAACATAAGAAGATGAAGTAGGACATGAAGATTATGAGAATATGTAGAATAGATAATGATTGACTCTAGTCTTGAAGAGATTAAGATTGTAGTGTTTGGGGAAAGCATCCACATGAGTGTCTATTCCACAAAGTAGCAGTTCTTGCAAAGAAGAGTGGGTTTTTTTTTTTTTTTTTACCATTATGTTTTTTAGGAGAGTATTGTTGAATATATTTTGTAATGATATTTTGGTTTTCAATTTATAAGGAAGAAATGATAAATAAAACAAAAATAGGAAGAAAAATTAGAATTGAAGATTATTATTAAATTCTTTTTGACAGAGCCCTTCGTCAGAAAACAGTTTCAAGAATGAAAAGAAAAAGAAAGTTATAATTCTAATGAACAAGAAAGACGCAAAATGATTGTCAAGTGGTTGAGTATAGAAACAAACAAGATGGAATTCAAACTAAACAAAGCATGAATTGTTATTACATTAAGATTTTGAGATGTTTATTCATTTTCATTTTATGATATAAAAATTGAAGATCACATTACAGTTGCATGAAGCCAAATCTGCTTTCTCTCTTTCTTTCTATGTGCTTTTCCCCTTCAGGATTTGGGCAATCATGGTTCTTTACACATTTCTTCAGTGAGTTCAATCCCTGAGATGGATAGTACAGACTTAGTGGAAATGGAGCTAGCAATAACTGATCAGTCATAAAAAAAATAAAATAAAACACTATATAAGATATCCCTAGACAAGTACAGTGGAAGGAGAACAATCTACACCTGTAGATTAAATAAAGTGTTCAGTTCAAAATACCCTGAAGCTTACCCAGATCAACAGATACCTGAAGAAGGTTGAAGGGCACAATGGCTGAAATGTTGTGAAATAACAAAGATGAGGACATTAGTTTGAATGTAAATAATAGTAACTCATTGTCCTAGAAATTGAAACAGAAACATTCTTTTGTTATTTTCAGCAGCACTTGCCCCTTATGACCCCTTTTTGTCTTTGTGTGCCTTGTTCCTCTAGTCAGTTGTTGAAAACTTCTCAAAATAGATTACCAGCTGTTTTCCTTTGTTTCATTTGCCTTCAATGCATCTTGTGAGTGCTAAATTCTGAAAGCCTTCTTTCTCATTATATGTCCCCAAATTTTCAACTAAATCTTTTTGATTGTTATAAACAGTTTCTTTGTTGTATAAGTCTGATCAGTCAGTTAAGTACACACTTGGGAAATTTTTTTTTGCATTTTAATTTTTTGTTCCCCCCCCCAAAAAAAAATGCAGAAAAATTTGAAATCACCAGACTCTTGAAAAGTGGATGTTTCTGCAAAATTTTCAAGTAGGGGTTATGACAACAAGGATTGCTATGCACAATTACAGTTAAGTAATTTTTCTATATATGAAAAAAATAATATTATTTACATATATGGTATTGTTTGTACTGGTTATAAAAGCTTTTATATTTTGTTACTGTATCAACTTTTTACTCAATTTACCATTATATGCCTGTTGTATTTTGACTATTTACTTTATTTGTTTTTTTATCACTTGAACAAAAGTATATATGATTCGTTTTCTACAGCTTATCAATCCTTAGGTTGCAGGTTATTTAAAGCCAGAAAATATTTTTTGGGTGATAATAATGATTTAGTGATACAAGTCTTACTAATTAACCCATATTTGGGGGAGAGAAGAGGTGAATTCATACACTCTCACAAGGGTATTTGCATATAAGTGAATGTAACAAATCCAACGGGAATTGGAACTCAACTCTCCAATTAACAATTCTGTGCCGTTATCCATCACACCACCTGCACATCCAAGCTCACAGCACCTAGTATTCCCAAGCGGTCACCCATCTAGCTACTGACCAAGCTTGATGTTGCTCAACTTTGGTGATCATACGGGAACTAGTATTTGAATGTGATGTGGCTGTAAACCATAAAAGTATATTACTCTATGTATCTATCACTGTAAATGCAGGTATGTATGAATTTTGATATTTCAGAGTATTTTTTGAATGCAAAGTCATTTTTAAGCAATTAATGAATTTTTTGATCCAAGATTATTTTTTTAATACTATGAACATTGTTAATTTCACAAACATCCATGTTTGAGTCAACATCCTTATTTAAAGACTGAGATGTCTACTCAGACATGTGTACCCACTAAATATACTGTCTATAGAAATAAAATAAAATAATGCAATATATATGACAAATGCAATGAAGTATCAATAATCCATACTTGTGGGTGGTGTTTTCTATATGATAGATACCAATATAAACATTTGCTTTTTAATTTAATAATAATGAGATGCAGTATCCAAATATAATTCTTTCATAACAATACAATTTTCATTATGATTGTATCAATTTACATAAATATATATGTAAAATCAGTGGCCAAATAAATCATTGTTGGTTGTTTCTATTTTCCAATCAATGGCACCTGTTATATTTATAGTTCAAATTCAATAATGATTTGTTTGGGATATGGCTATTTTGTTTCACTGTGTTTGAAGTTGATTTCAATATTTGATGTGAACCTGTCTGGCAATAATAAAATCAGTCAAATGGGCAAATATTTTGATTGCATTTCTATAGTAATATTGCCACTTATATATAATATATTACCATATATACTCGAATATAGTGCAGGTTTTTTTGATCAGATTTTTTATGCAAGAAATAATTCAGGTCACACCTATACATAGGTAATTTTTTTTTTTTTGAAGCAGTTAAGTCATGCATTTTTAGTGACCAGTTGCACTATATAGAGGTAATTTTTTTCTGGAGATGCTAAAATTCATGCAAAAAAAAATTCAGTGGTCACATGAGATATGAAGCTAGGTTATACATGATGTAATTTATTACTAAACCTGATCATAATCTATGTATGTATGTATGTATGTATGTATGTATGTGTGCGAGAGAGCAGGAAAGCTTATTCTTCCCGTAATGTTTATCATCATTTATGAACACTGACAAACTTTATTTTCAATACACAACATACAAACTGGTCGCTGAAAATTGCTAAAACAAAAAGTTAGGTCGCACTACAAAATTTGGTGCTTAATTATCAATTTCTTTCCTTTCCTTTTTTGTGCTAAATATGCAATGCTGTCTGGAATACTTATGCCGGTGAGAATTTTTCAACTTATAAAATAAACATGCCAGGTCAAATAAACTTTCTGTCAGAAATTTTTTATATAAGTTTAATAAACATCAGTTTGAATAATAGTGCTGGTAAAAGTTTTGAAAGAATAATAAACATGGTGTACCAAATAAACACCATGCTGGGAATGGAGGGAAGATTAAAGGAAATAAATTAATTATACAAACACTTGTATTTTTCTGAGAAAATGACTGAGACTAAATATGGTAGAGGGGTGAAATTGTAGTAAAATTGGGAAGCATTGATAAGAAAAGCCAAAATCCTTGCCTATACATGTCAGCCTTAAATACAGTCATTATTAAAATATAAATTGTTATTACTGTTTCATTTATTTATTTTTTCTGTTTTGTTTTTTTGAGGTCACATTTGCTGAATCACTATATAAATTGATGTGCAAATAAAATTTGTGACCACAGTACACTGGGTGTTTTTGTCTTGCCTGGTTTCCGCACGTCAAGAGCACCTCTCTCGACTGAGAAAAACACTGGTGTTATATACCTCTTCCACTCCCAAACCCATGCTGACTATTGGCTAATACTTGCCCAGTATTGTTCCTATGCAAATAGTCTGTGTCACCTACTCTAAATAGAAGGTCTTCTCTCAACAGCCCATTGTGGAAGGGGATGCAACTCCTGGTGCTTACAGCACCATGTACAACCAACTCAGAATCATTTATTGAACTGATTTTCTGTCACACTCCCCCCTGATCTCCTGATCACAGCACCAACTTGCAGGGGCAGGCATTTCCTTCTGGTGCTCCTTTGCAAGAGAGGTACTTCAAACTCATTGTTGTCACTATGTGGGGGAGGTACTTCATCCTCAGTGCTGTCGCCATCCATCTCCACTGTGGCAGGAGGCGCAACGAAAATCTAGGAATTTATTTCCAAATCCCCATTGCTCATAGATGTGTGTCGCTTGCAGTAGAGCATTTGTCCCATGAAGGTCGGAGGTCTTTAACAATATGCAGCATGCCATCAATCAGGACAGATTGTGGACTAATGATCCCAGTGATGTTCTTTCTTTTTCTGATCAAACTCGACACTAAAGTCTGGTTCCTCTATGGTGAGAGCCCCACACAGGGATGATCTTTTGTCAAAAAACTCCACTGCACCCAAAGGAGTGATTTCTACTCCCCCTAGTTCTTTAATCACATTAATCCCGATCAGAAGGTCAAAACCAAGTGGCTTTTCTTGCGCCACCAATATGTCAATCCTGACAGGACTTCCACCTTGCAACCAGAAAGCAATGACTCTGATCTCACTGTTGTGGAATCAGAGTCGTTGCTTATGGTTTTTTCTGGTCTCTCCGCCTAATGTTGTTACGCGTACAGGCACTTTTGTCCACGACTGGCATATCTTTCTGCTGGCTATATATATAGCAAACAACCAGTATTGATCAGGGCGGTGACAGGTCTTTCATCAACCTGGACCCCAATCATAGGTAATGCCAGGTTGGAGAGGATACTGGCACTGAGATATCTCTTCTCACATTTTCTTGGACAGTTTCGAGACATACGGCCCACAGTATGGCAACGGTAACAGCACATGGTATTGCGTTGTCCTCGCTCTCATCCTCTGTCTTATTGTCGGTTCTGACAATCTTTCACCATGTGGTTAATACCATTGCATCTAAAGCACTATATGACATGAACGTCCGTACTTTGTATTGGCTGGGCTGCTGCTGCCACCATGACTTCCTCCATCTCCTTGTCTCTCATAATCGCCCGGGCTTGGGCAAGCAGCTGGTCAATAGACAGCGCGTCCATCCTAGACAACACACAAAGAGTCTGGCTTTATATTTCCAATTCAGCCAGGTATACATCCATGGATTTGCTGCACCGCAGGTGCCACTCATTGAGCTGTTCATGCACCATAAATGAATCCATAGCAAAGGCTGTAACTAAGGCAGTCTTTATCTGGTCAATGTCAGATTTTGCTTTGTCATCCAGTTGTTGGTAAACTACATATGCTCTGCCTGTAAGTTGCAAAGGGATCATGTGCTCCAAAGATTTCACTCCACATAGCCTGCAAATGAGTTCCAGTTTCTATATCCATTCAACCACTAGCAGACTGGACGCAGATCTGTCAAACTCGGGAATTAACTTTAAATCAAATTTGGAGTCTGCTATTGTCCGTCAATCACTGAAATAGCTTGTGTTCATCTTGTCTGGTTTCTGTACATAAAGAGCGCCTCTCTTGACTGAGAAAAACTGGTGTTATATAGCTCTTACACTCCCAAACCCATGCTGACTATTGGCTAATACCTGCCCAGTGTCATTCATATGTAAATAGTCTGCACCAGTTACTCTAAGTAGAAGGTCTTCTCTCAACAGCCCATTGTGGAAGGAGATGCAACTCTTGGTGCTTACAGCACCACATCCAACCGACTCAGTCTTTTATTTGGTTGGCCTGATTCTCTGTTACAATTAGATTCTTTTGATGCACCTACCTCATTTCTAGAAATGAACTTGAATGATACATGTATGATGTAATAGGTAAAGAGGTAGTGTAGTTGTGGTAGCCATGAGATGTGGACAGCATTTGACCACTCTATTTCTGAAGTGACAACTGCTCAATGTTTTTCTTGACCGAGAGTATCAAGAATATACTAGGAATATGTAAACTTCAGATAGTCATAAGTTGTGTAAGAATGGGACGGCCAATGAATGATAAGGATAGTAACAGCCTAACAAAAGGGAACATTGTATCAAACTATATTCCAATTTAATACGGATCCTGCTCAGCCCATCAGTCAACACACTGTATAGTATACAAAGTGTCCCTAATGGTTCTGTGGTCATCAGCCAACAAGGTCATCCTTGACAACATACCATCAGTTACTGCATCACCTAGGCTAGAGAACATCATTGTTCGACCATAGAAGACTGGTACCATGTAGTTTGGTCAGATGTTATGTTTTCTTCTCTTTCAAGTAGCTAGTCAGGTTTGTGAGTAGAGGAAAACACATAAAGCTATAGATCCAGCCTGCCAGAAGTATATTTTGCAAGCTGTTAGTGGCTCTGTAATAGTGTTGTTAGGTCTGTACTGATGGAATTCACAATCACCACTAGTGAAACATACATGCATTTTCCTCACATACAGTTTTGTTTCATTCTAACTTGAGGAAGCCAAAGAGAGTATATGCTTTGTTAATAAATTTTCCACTTTGTTTCAGATACTATTATACATCCTACAAATGTACACACACACACACACACACACACACACACACACACACACATATATATATATTAAAGAAAATCTGACTATGTTGTTGTAACTAACAGAAAACTTGCCAAAAGACCTAACAGCTTAATCATGAGAAAAACTTGAACAAGGAAAGAAAAAAGATAAAAAATGAGCAAAAGTCAAACACTTACCTACTGAGTAAAGAAAAGTGCTCAATACTTAGATTACCTAGACAGAGCAAAAAATGTTTCACAACATTAACGACTTGTGTCATTACTCAAGTTTCGCGTTCTTGCAATCTTAAATGACTAGAATGTTCTAGTTATCTGAAAATCACAAGAATATTAAACTTGAATAATGACTTGAGCTGTCTATATATCTCAAGTGTTCACTGTGTCATGCTAGACAGATTTTCTCTCCAGAGTCTATCTTACATATCTATAAGTCTACCATTCACCCATGCTTAGAATATTGCTGCCACATATTGTCCAGTGCTCCTGCTATCTATAGCTCCTTGATAAAATCCAAAGAATCAGCAATATTATTGGCCCTGATCTGGCATCTCTGCT